GCGCGCGCGCGCGCATTGGTTATTTTTCCAGCAGATGTAATCAAATCCTTGCCAAAGGCAACTTAAGAAAGGAAGAGTTTATTTGGGCACATAGTTTGAGGGTACAGTCCATCGTGGGAGGAAGTCACAGTAGCAAGAAGCTAAGGCCACTGGTCACACTGTGTCTTCTGTCAGGAAGCAGAGGTGAAAGCTGACGCTCTGTTAGCTTCCTCCTTTTGACTCAGTCTGGGCCCCCAGCCCGTGGGACAGAGCCAACCTCATCTGGGATGAGCCTTCCCCACTCTGTAAAGCCTTTCTGGAAACACCTTCGAGTGTTTCCATGGTGACTCTAACGCCTGTATCCCTTAGCTTATTTTAATCGAGAAGAGTTTTCTTTTTTAAAATGATGATCTTTGAAAACATTACACTGACACCCCCCCCCCCAAAAAAAAAAAAAAGTCCCAACTTCTTGACCGGCTGACTTTAATCCCCAAGGCATTCTTTAACTTGTTTTTCTAGTTTGGGTGTCTGGTTAAAAGACAGGACTGATTAGATTCGGGTTGAGTTTGTCAAGGGTCCTGAGTAGAAGCAGATTGCACATTGGAAGAGTTTCATAGAAGGAAGTTAAATGAAAGAGCTGTGTGGCAGGCAAAGGATGCGCGGCTGAAGGAGCTCCTGGGACCGTGTCCTCAAGCCGAGGACTGGGCTGATCCACAGAAGCACTGTGGAGACTGCCGTTTTGGAAGGAAGACCCCACAATGAGTCCTAGATCTAAAAGGAACGCAGCCATCTCCTAGTAGGCACCCAGGGAGGGAAGGAGTCCGTGGAGCTTAGGTACCAGCCCTCCCTTGCATCCTCAGCATTTCTGTTGGAGCCCCGCCCCCTCGCTCGAGTCAGATCCAATCCGTAAACTGCAAAGGTTGTGAAGTGATGATCATAGTCTATAGGGGAAGTCTCCAGCAGCCAGGGCTGGACCCAAACAGACACCAAATGCGTTGATAAGGGTAAATGGAGAATAACACACTTAATAACAGCTTAAACATTTTGGCCTAGGATGCTTCAGAGGGCATAAGAAGACACAAAAGAAAAAAAAAACTATGGAATGAAAAAAAATTTGAAAAATTTTAATTTATTTTAATTTTAATTATTTGAAAAAAATTATACTAACCATGTTCAGATTTTTCCTTTGTTATCACTCCCCGAACTATCACATAGCACCTAGTTACACAGTATTTCCAATGTATTATGTATTATACTTAATTGAGGGATGATTTATACTGTAGGAGAAATGTGCACAGACTAGATAGAAATATCATTTTATATAAGGGTCTTGTGCGTGTATAGATTTGGGGATTCTTGAAGGGTCCAGAAACTAATCCCTTACAAATTACTGCAGGGCAGCTTTATTCTTCAAGGTCACACACAGGAAACTTTTGATCAATATTTGCAGTGTTATCATGGCGTGGTGGTGCACACCTTTTAATCCCAGCACTCGGGAGGCAGAGGCAGCTGGATCTCTGTGAGTTCGAGGTCAAGCTGGTCTACAGAGTGAGTTCCAGAAAGGCCAGGGCTATACAGAGAAACACTATCTTGAAAAACAAAAGCAAAATGTGCTGCGTTGAGTTCCACTGTGGAAAAACCCCCGAACTGAACCTAACAAGCCCATTGTTTTGGACCCCCCCCCCCAACCACTCTCCCAGTTAGTTAAAGACAACATCCCCACCACCCAACCATCTTTCACACAGTGTGTTCATTTCTGAAGCCCAGGGCTGGCATTATTTCTAACTGTGAAAATACTCCCAGGGTCACATATGACACCCCTCTCACTCACCTCCAAGTGTTTCAGCTTGCTTGTAAGGTGGCTTCGGGTTTCCAAATAACAGTTTGAAATGCCTTTAA